TTTTGAGACAGGATCTCACTATGTAGTTGAGACTGACCTGGAACTCACTCATGTAGCTCAGGCTGGTCTTGAACTCACAGTGATCCTCCTGCCTCAGCCTCCCAAGTGCTGCGCTTACAGGTGTGCGCCACCACGCACAGCCAGACAGTTTTTCTTTTAGTACTTTAAAGATGTCACTACACTGTCTTCTGGGTTGTATGACTTCCGTTAAGTCTGCTGTCATTCTCATTTTGTTCCTTTGTATGGATACAGATTTTTTTTTGAGGCACATTTGTCACAGGAGACTTTAAATAGGGAACTACTTCCCAGTAATGAATGTAACTGTACTGTATACCTAGAATGTACCAATAAACTCAATAAAAAGAAAAAATAAATAGGGAACTACTTCCCAGTAATGAATGTAACTGTACTGTATACCTAGAATGTACCAATAAACTCAATAAAAAGAAAAAATAAATAGGGAACTACTGTGGTGTTTGACATATCTCTCTGCATTGTGACAGCTGGGAAAGCTGGCGGGAGTGATGCTGAGGCAACAGCTGCTGACTGGAAAAAGTGTGACTTGATTGCAAAGATCTTGGCCTCTTGTCCCCAGCAATCTCTTTCTCTGGAGAGTTACTACAGGGACATTTGCCCCCAGGTAAATCATCTCATTTCTTTTGACCATTCAAGAATTATCTGTTTGCTAATTTGCTTGCTTGCTTACTTGTTTATTTATTTGTAGTGGTGAGAACATTTGATTAAACATAGGAAAAGAAACAGGCTCTGCAGAGTGAGTTTAGACTAAATAAAAGTAGGAAGAGAGGTACACCCTACAGCTTGAGGGTGGGCCGTTCCTGCAAGAAAGAACACAGTGACCTCTGTTTATTTAGAGAAAGAGAACTTTAAATATTCCTCTAAAATTGAAGTAAAAGCCACATAATATTTAAGTTTATTGTTCAGCTTTCTTACTAAGGGAATAAAAACCTATGAAGAGATCCGTGGAACTATTGGATTTAAGAATGCCCCCCAGGGTTTGGCATGGAGTTCAGTGAGAGAGCCCTTGCCTAGCATGTGCAAGGCCCTGGGTTTCAACCCCAGCACTGCAAGGAAAAAAGGAATTCCTCATCATTGTTTGTTTCCATAGCTGGGCTTGAACTCTGGATCTTGCACTTGTGAGGCAGGTGCAGTGCCACTGAGCCAAATCCCCGGCCCAAAGCTGGACCATCTTTTTTTTTGGTACCAGGGATCAAACTCAGGACCTTGTGCTTGCAAGGCAGGCACAGTGTCTCTGAGCTAAATATCCAACTCCTCATCATTCTTAAATAACTAGATCAGCTTGCTCTAGTGCTAGCATATGGAGCTATAAAGTTTCACTCTGTTCTCTTTTCTTTGTGTTTGTTAGTTTTTAAAGTGGATATACTCTCTAAAGAAGGCAAACTGCCATGATAAATTTTTTTTTTTTTTTTTTTTTTGGTACTGGGGATCAAACTCAGGACCTTGCACTGTCAAGGCAGCAGCACCGCTGAGCTAAATCCCTGGCCCCCATGATAACAATTTTTAGAAATATAAAAGATTAAACTGAGAAGTCTGACTGCCAGAGTAGTTCCTCAGAGGTAGTCAGAGCTGCTGTAAGAGGTTCTTCAGAGGTAGGCAGTCATCAATTTTACTTATTTTTCAGAGATAGTCCATGTATGGTATATGTAGAGTTATATGTGGGTATATGTGTATCCGTGTGTATATAATATTAATTTTTCTTCAAATGATAACCTACTATATGTATTGCTTTTCATTTCGCTTTCTCCACTTAATATGAGGTGTGACTAAAAAGTACAGTGAGTGTTTTAAAATATTACAGTGAGAGACACATTGCCATTAATCTCCCTCAAAACACTCCTACTTGTTTCCAACACACTTCCCATTGTTCTTTTGCCACTTTCTGGAGCATTTCTGGCACTCCTTTTTTATGTATTTAGTTGTGTTGTCATGGGTGTCTCAATGTCCTGAGTCAATTAAAATGTTTACCTTTTGTAGTCATTTTGACGTTAGAGAGAGCCAGAAATCACGTGACACCAGATGCACTGAATAAAGATGAAGACATACTGTAATGTTTTTATAGTGCTTTTCCATTGGATGACACTTGGCTGGAACATTTACCATATTGTGATCACATCTCATAAAGACACAAAAGAAGACTTCCAGACAAGCACCAAGAGCTATGGGCTGGGCCGGGGTTTAGCTCCGCAGTTTGGTGGCCTACGTTGCAAGCACAAGGACCCGAGTTCAATCCCTGGTACCAGGAAAAAAAAAAAAAAAAAAAAGAGCTATGGGCTAAGTGTGTTTGAAATGGGGAAGAATATTTTGAGAAGGATTAATAGCAACATGTCTTTTATTGTAATGAAGATTTTAAAATTTAAACATTCACTGTATATTTTGATCACTTTTTGTATTCATTGTATGCCATTTCATACTGAGTCATTTCACAAATACTTCATTCTTTTTAAAATTTTTATTGTTTTTATATCTGTGTGTCCTTTTTCTTTTTTATTAGTACATGTTTGCAGTGCATAATGATTGCATTCATCATAAGTAGTTGGTGCATGTACATAACACATCTTAATTCTTTCTCTCTTTTGCGGGGGCGTACCAAGGATTGAACTCAGGACCTTGTGCTTGTGAGGCAGGTGGTAGAACTACTGGGCTAAATCCCTGGCCCCACATCTTAATTCTATGCCCTCTGTACTTTTTTATATGTGCTTAGTATTTGGTCATGTTAATGTACCCAAATTTATCTAACCAGTCTGCTATTGATGGACATTTGAGTTATTTCCATTTTTTTGCTATTACAAACTACACACATTTAAAATACATAAATCTTTGGGACATGTACAGGTGTAATAGGAAAAATTTCTAAAATTGAAATGACTGATTAATTTTTTTCTTTTGGCACATTTTAGGTATACAATATAATGACATTCATCTTTGAAAATTTCCACCTTTACGTAATCTTGGTTCTTGGTTCTTTTTTTTTTTTTTCCCATTCCCCTGCCCTTCCTTGAAGCCCTTCACCCCTCCCTATTTACAAAGACTTTGTTTCCATTTTTTCATTTTCTCATATTAATTTCATTCCCTTCTTTTCTTACCACTACCCCACCCATTTTCCCCTTCCCCTTTGCCCCTTTTCTTCCTATTTCACATTATCTGTTATACTTTTTAGTCCTTATTTATACTTTCAGTTTCTCAAACTACAGAAGCTATTTGGTATTTACACATGTATATCCTGTTTATTTCACTGAAGAGTATGGCCTCAGTGGGCATCCATTTAGCTATAAATGTCTCTAACTTCTCATTTTTATGGCTGAATTGTACTCCATTTTATTAAAAAAAAAACACATTTTCTTTAGTCTCCAGTTGATGGGCAGTTGGGCTGCTTGCAACTTTTAGCTATTACAGATTGTGCTGATATGAACATGGGTGCACATATATCCCTGTGGTATGATTCTTTTAATTCTTTGGGGAGGATACCCAGCAGGGAAATAGCTGGATCAAATGGGACTTCCAATCCTAGTTGTCTGAGGTGTCTCCATACTGATTTTCACAGTGGTTGCACCAGTCTGCACTCCCACCAGCAGTGGAGCAGGGTTCCTCCTTCCTCACGGCCCCACTAGCATTTGTTATTGGTTGAGTTCATGAAAGCAGCCATTCTTTCTGGAGTGAGGTGAAGTCTTAGTGTTGTTTTAATTTGCATCTCTTTAATGATCAGTGATGTTGAACATTTTTTCATATGTTTATTTGCTATTTCTACTTCTTTGAGAAATGTCTGTTCATTTCAGATGCCCATTTTTGGATTGGGTCTTGAGATTTGGGAGGTCTGATTTTTTTAAGTTCTTTATATATTCTAGATAGCAGACCTTTGTCTGAGGAACACCTGGTAAAATTTTTTTCCCACATTTTGGGTTGTCTCTTCACACTGTTCGTGTTTTCTCTTGCTGTGCAGAAGCTTTTTAATAAGAAGAGATCCCACTTGTTGATTCTTTGTGCTAGTTCACTGGTAACTGAGGTTTTGTTCATAAAATCTCTTCCTACACCAATGTCTTCAAGAGTTCTACCTAATAATTTTTTTTTTTTAAAGAGTCAGTGTGGGCCAGGCTGGCACTGAACATGAGCTCAAGCAGTCCTTCTGCCTCAGCTTCCCATGTAGCTGGGATTTCAGGTGTGCACCACTGTGCCTTGCTCCAAGATCTTACTCAAAAAATGCTAAATTTATTACTTGCAACAATGAGTAAATATTTTCTAAAACTAGTAGTTAGGGTTTCTGTATATAAGAAATGATAAAAAGCAACAGATTTCAGGCTTGCTGCATCCTCCTTTGGCAATGCCGAAGTCTTTGTGGGCAGAGAATTCTCCTGTTTGCAAAAAGCAGAAGAGGTTTTGACTGTTAAGTCAGTAATTGGAAATGAACTTTGTCATTGGTTGCTTTTTTTTTTTTCCTTTGGAGAGAATTGAACTCAGGACCTTGCACTTGCCAGACAGGTGTGGTGCCACTGAGCTACATCCCTGGCTCAAGGTTCTTTTTTTTCCCCCCAAGGTTGCTTATTGTTGAGGATAAAATTAGTTCTCTAGGATGGTTCAGATACATCAGACTCCTTAGACCCTAAATATGTTCATATACTACAAGCAAATAATTTCAATTGACTGTGTTATTTATAATTAGCAAAATTTTGGGGAAAATGACTATTTGGAAATTGGGGAATAATTTAGTAAATTTTCTTTTTGTTTTGTGCTTTGTTTTGTTTTTTTTTAACTTCTTTTTTTTTGAGACAGGGTCTTGCTTTGATATACAGGCTGACTCTGAACTCACTGTGTAGCCTAAACTAGCCTCAAACTCAAAGCAATCCTCCTGCCTCTGCCTCCCAAGTGCTGGGATTATGGGCGTGTACCACCATGCCCGGCTTTAACAAATTTTTGTTTGAAAAAAATTTTTTTTTTTTTTTTTTTTTTTTTTATTTTTTTTTTTTGGTCTTTTGAGACAGGGTCTCACTGTATAGTTGAGACTGACCTGGAACTCTCTATGTAGCCCAGGTTGGTCTCGAACTCACAGGGATCCGCCTGCCTCAGCCTCCTGAGTGCTGGGATTACAGGCGTGCGCCGCCACGCCCGGTGAATATTTTTTCTTTTTTAACACTGGGGTTTAAATTCTGGGGCTTGCATATGCTAGGTAAGTACTTTACCATTGAGCTACATGCCTAGCTCTTTTTTAAATTTTATTTTGAGACAAGGTATTTAAATTACCCAGGCTAACCTTGAATATGCAATCTTTCTGCCTCAGTCTGCTGTGGAGCTAGATTGCAGGTGTGTGCCACCATGCCTGGCTTATTTCTTTTTTATTTTATTTATTTATTTGGGGGGATAGTGTCTTGCTGTGTGGCCCAGGTTAGCCTTGAACTCATGGGCTCAAGTGATCCTCCTGCTTTAGCCTCTGAGTAGCTGGGACTGTGGATATGTACCACAGTGCCCAGCTTGAATATAATATCTTTAAAGGAATTTATATGAGGAGTTTCTGGCAATGCACAAAACTAAATACTAAGTGTGATCTCAATTGTAAAGAAGAAAGAAATATATAGAAAATATGCTGGAAAAAATACACTGAAAATATTTACAGTGATATGGGAAGATTTTAGTTTTCTTCTGAAAACTTGGCTTTCCCAGTTGTACAATGGGCACATATTTTATAAACTTGATAAAATGACTCATTAAAAACAGTCTCTTTGCAGGGAATGTAGCTCATGGTGCCACACCTGCCTCACAAAGGCAAGGTCCTGAGTTTGATCCCCAGTACTGGAAACAAAACAAAACAAAACAGTCTCTTCAGCTCTTTTACTCTTTGATACTGGGTTTTAAAAGTAATTCTGTTCATGCAGTATTATTGTGATGATTTTATTTTTTGGCTAAAAGAAATACTGTAAGATTTTTCTTTCTTAGTTACTGCATTCCTTGCAAAGAACCTGATATTTACTTCATGTAATTTTTCCTGTAGATTCTGGATTTATTTCATTTTCAAGATAAATTGACAGCACGACAATTTCAGAGAGTTGCCACCACTACCTTTATCACTATGTCCAGAGAACACCCACAGTTGGCAGCAAAATATTTGCTTCAACCATTGTTAGCTCCTCTTCATCGATGTTTGAATACAGCAGGTAAAGCAGGAAGTCTGGTGGTTGGATTTTTGTCCCTCTAAAGAGCTATTTGTTTTGTTTGGGGTTTTGTTGTTGTTTTTTATTTGTTTTGTTTTTGTTTTTTGTTTTTTGAGACAGGGTCTCACTATGTAGTTGAGACTGACCTGGAACTATATAGCTCAGGTTGGTCTCGAACTCATAGCAATCAATCCTCCTTCCTCAGCCTCCCGAGTGCTGGGATTACAGGCATGCACCACCACACCTGGCTAAAGAGCTATTTGATATTTCAGATTTAAATGATTTAAGTCTGTGGTACTTCAATGTCTTCATTGCCTTCCCCCACTTTATTTTCTTTTTTTTTTTTGTGGTACCAGGAATGAACCCAGGCCTTTTACACTGAGCTGTATCTTTAGATCTTTTTATTTATTTATCTTTTGATACAGGATTTGAGTAAATTGTCCAAACTGGGCTCTAATTTGTAATCCTCCCATTATGCAGAGTGCTAGGATTATAGGAGGACTGTACCATACCTTTTTATTTTAAAAAATTCGCAAAAACTCCAAGAGTACATTGCATATTCATATGCTTCTCCCAGATTGGTCAGCATTTCACATTTTGATCATGTTTGCTTCTTTTTTCTCTACATATGTGAAAATGTTTTTTCTGGAACATCTGAATATTAGTTGTAGACATCATGATACTTTACCCAAATACTTCAGTGTATATCTCCAAAGAAAATATCAGTCTCATACATAACCACAAACAAAAGGGAATTTAACACCGATACAGTACTGTCAGAATTTGTCTTAGTCCTTGTTTATTCATTCAAAGAATATTTATTGGACATCTTTTTGCCAGGTAGTCTTCATGTGTTAGATCACATTTGCAATACCAGCTACCTATTTTACACTTTGTTATCATCTGTTGGTAACAGAAGGGACCAGGTAAGGGTATGACTGATCTTACATAGTTTCATCATTGCCACTGGAGAACCTATCTAAATACTTTTTTGTATTGTTATTAAATGTTTAAGACTTTGGCAATTACAGTGAATTACTACATTTTATCAATTCCAAAATTTTTTTTTCACATTAAAAACCTTTGAACTGGGTGTGGTGGTCTCATCTATAATCCAGCTACTTAGGAGGGTGAGGCAAGAGGATCACAAATTTGAGGTCAGCCTGGGTCACATAGTAGACACTGTCTCAAAATAAAAAGACTGGGAATGTAGCTAAGTGCTAGACACTTGCCTAATATACTCAAGGCTCTCGATTCAATCTCCAGCACTGAAAGAAAAAAGAAAAGAAAAAGCAGAAAATTTCTGGGGCTGGACATCTAGGTATGTTATAGATCGGTTATCTAACATGTGTGAAGCCCTAGATTTGGTTCCCAGCACTGGAAAATAAAACAGATTTGCCGATGGAAGTCAGTGACTTGGAAGAAAATTGTAAAGACAATAAATAGTAAAATGGAAGACTCTTGTTAAGAAATGTCATGTGATTTGGGGTTTTGGTGGTATAGTGGACAATATATTATGGAAAACTTGGATATCAGTAATGGTGTTGAAATATTTCCAAAGAGTTGAACCCTTATGTGCAACTTTAAGAATCCTCTTTCCACTTTCCAATCTGCCATCTGCAGCAGAACTGCCGCCAAGTTGCAGATTTTCATAAAAACTCTTACAGCGAAGCCCATCATGATTGAGGCTGAATCCTAGGTACTATAGAAATGTAAAGACCCAGATCCAGAATAGGGAAGGAATACCTTCTCTCAGCAAAGACGGACTTATTGGTAAGCAACTGGAAGATGGACATACTTTTATTACAACATTCAGAAGAGAGCCGAGGATTTAGCTCAGTGGCGCCACGCCTGCCTTGCAAGCACAAAGTCCTGAGTTCCATCCCCAGTACTGAAAAAAAAAAACCATTCAGAATGAATTTACCATTTATCTTGTGTTAAGACTTTGTGGTAGTGCTAAGGAAAGGATGAAGTTTTATTGCAGTCCTAAGAATAAGCATAAGATAAAGTTAAGTTGCCCTTTAGATGAATGCGGTACTGTAGTTATGACCAGCCACTTTGACAGCCATTATTGTGGCAAGTGTTGTCTAACTGCTCTGTAAACCAGAAAACGAGCAATTATTCATGAAAGACATGATTTAAAAACAAAACAAAAATCTCTAACCCATATACTTCAATTTTTAGCATATATAATGATATACATTCTTATATATATAATGATATACATTCTTATATATATCTATATATATTCTATATATATATCTATCTATATCTATCTATATATAGATAGATATAGATAGATAGATAGATATACACATACATACACACACACACATATCTAAGTCTAAAGAGCTCTTGCCGGGTGTGGTGGTGCGCTCCTGTAATCCCAGCACTTGGGAGGCTGAGGCAGGAGGATCGCTGTGAGTTCGAGACCAGCCTGGGCTACAAAGTGAGTTCCAGGTCAGTCTCAACTACATAGTGAGACCCTGTTTGTCGTCCCCCCCCCAAAAAAAAAATAGAAATAAAGAGCTCTGAATACTTAAAAATCCTCTACTTTAAACTTTTTAAAAGGGAATTTTAAAGCATATACTTACAGAGATTGTGTAATGTCACATGGACATAACCATCCACTCATTTTTTTATTACATTTAATCCCCAATTTTTTATTCTATAAATTTACCATTAATATTACGTGATAATATATTGTAGGCTAATTGGCTGTTTTTTCTTTTCTTTTCTTTCTTTTTTTTTTTTTTGGTACCGGGGATTGAACTTGGGTTCTTGGGCTTGCAAGACAGGCTACCAAACCACTGAGCTAAAACCCCGGCCCATGGCTGTTTTTTCTTAATGATAATAAAATAACACATTTATGATCAGTAGCATCATAGATTCCACAAAATGTTATATATGAATGACATTGTACCATAGTAACTATGCTGACTTTCTGATCTTAGCTAGTACTGGCTGGATCATCTTTGTAGTAAAACTTCATTCTATTAGTATCTTCTATTCAGTGAGGTGCTGAGTATGGGTAATTTTGTTTGTTGGTTTGTCTTCTAGAGATTACAGAGAATGACATGGTGCCAGGGACCATTTTGGTGACAGAGGAAGAACTTAGTAGATGTATTGAAGATGTCTGTAAGGTTAGTAATTTAAGTTACTAATGTTTTTAGCTAATATTTACCTTTTAAGATTCTTTAAAATTAATTAATTAATTTTTGTGATGCTGAGAATTGAACCCAAAGCATCATAAATGCCATATAGGAGCTGGGCATGGTAGTGCACACCTCTAATCCCAGCACTCTGGAAGGCTGAGACATGAGAATCTCAAATTCACATACAGTGTGGGTGACTTAGCAAGACTCTTGAAAAAAAAATAAAAAGTTCTGGGGATGTAGCTCAGTGTGATGACCCTGGGTTCAATCTCCAGTACTGCCTCCTGGCAAAGGCAAGTAACACCAAAGGCAAGTAACAACTTCTGTGCCCACTGAGGTACTGTATAGCCTGAGCCCTTAAAATAACCCCCTCCCCCATACTGGGGATTGAACTCAGGATCTTGCACCTGTGAGGTAGGTATGGTACCACTGAGCTAAATCCCAAGCTCTAAAATAATTTTGCTTTTTAACAAATACTTCAAGAATTGGAAGCCGGGTGTGGTGGTATACACCTGTAATCCCAGCACTTGGGAAGCTGAGGCAGGAGGATCACCATGAGTTTGAGGCCAGTTTGGACTACATGGTGAGACACTGTCTCAAAAAAAAAAAAAAAAATTGGAGAGGGGATGGGAAAGGGAATAAAAAGAATTAAGATATGCCTACTTCCTAAGATGAATATAAGCATTATGTACTATAAACATGTACTAATAAAAATAATAATAATTGGATTGATTCATCTTAAGGTCTAAGCTGCCAAAATCTTCATTTTGAAACAAAACTGACCTTTTTTTCAGGTCTGATATGATTTGAAACCCTATTAATTTCATCATGTATTCTGAATGTTAAAAACAGTTTGGATTTTCTAACTGGCACATACTAGTGCTGAAAGTGTGTTTTTTTTTTTGAAACTCAACCAAGAAACATTTTAGCACTATAGATATCCTAGAAGTGAATGATAGTAATTCAATTTATAACTTTGGTAGAAATGAACATACTGAAGAAATTTTGTATAATGAATCCTGCAAATGACTACTTAAACCACACACACACACACACACACACATATATTGCATGTTCTTTATGATTAATTACAGTCTTATAAGTCTATATGAGATATATATCTTTAGACAAAAATAAAATTTGTGTTAGAGCCAGATGGAATGGGGTAAATATTCTTTACTGTTTATTTCAGTAAATTTATAATAGTATTTTACAACTGAAAATTTTATAACTTTCAAAATTTATTCCACATAAAAGGGTACATCCGCTGTGGAAAATACTTTGGCAGTTCCTCAAAAAGCTAAATATAGAGTTATCACACGACCCAGCAATTCTATTCCTAGATATTTACCCAGGGAAAATGAAAGTATATTCACACAAAAAACTGTATGTGAATATTCATTCATAAGGGCTAACATGTAAAAACGCATGTGTTTATTAACTGATAAATGGACAAATGAATGTGTTATGTGCATACAATAGAGTATTATTCAGCCATAAAAAAGAAATGTAGTATGAGTACATGCCATAATATAGATGAACATAAAAAATTTGACATTAAGCCTGGCACAAAAGGCTTCATGTTGTATGATTACATTTGTATGAAATTTCCATGTAGACAAATTGACAGAAAAATAATGTAGATTAGTGGTGGCTGGAGACTAGGAATGGGGGCTGCTAAGGAATCTGGGGTTTCTTTTTTTGAGATAGGATCTCACTATGTAGTTGAGGCTGGTTTTGAACTTCATTCGGGTGATCCTTCTGCCTCTGCCTCTGAGTGCTGGGATTATAGGCCTGCATCACACCTGGCTAGGGTCCTTTTTTTGAGATGATAAAAAATGTTCAAAATCAGTGGAGATGGCAGTACAACCTTGTGAATATACTAAAAAGCACTTAGGTCTCAACATATTTCACATCTCTCATTTCTTTTGGCAGCAAATTAAGTTTGAATATTTAAAAAATTTTAGTAAAGTTTTTTTCTTTTTTGGTACTGGGGATCGAACTCAGGACCTTGCACTTACGAGGCAGTTAGTAAAGTTTTTAATTTTAGCCTTTTAATGAAATAGTTCAGATATTCAAAAAAATATGAAGAATAATAGACCTCTGTACCCATTACTCAGTTTAAGAAATTAAACATTGGGCTGGGAATTTAGCTCACTAGCACCACACCTGCCTTGCAAGCTCAAGGTCCTGAGTCTGATCCCTGTTACCAAAAAAAATAAAATGAAAAGGAAATTAAACATTACTCATTACTGCCTCCAAAGTGCAGGGGTCCTAGTTCAATCCCCAGTACCAAAATAAATAAATAAATAAATAAATAAATAAATAAATAAATAAATAAAACAGGTAAGGGCAGTTAAAAAAAAAGTTTACTCATTACTCCAGGAGTGGTAGTACACAGCTGGAATCCCAGCATGCTGGGAGGCTGAGGCAGGAGGAATACAAATTTGAGTCTAACCTGGACAATTTAGCAACTTAACTGAGTCCTGACTTGAAATAAAAATAAAAAATGAGCTGGGCACATGCCTGTAATCCCAGCACTCAGGAGGCTGAAGCAGGAGGATCGATGTGAGTTCCAGACCAGCCTAAGGTACGTAGTGAGTTCCAGGTCAGTCAATTACATAGTGAGACCCTTCTCAAAAAAACAAACATACAAACAAACAAAAAATACAAGGGATGGGAATTTAGCCCAGTGGTTCCATCGCAAGCGCCAGATCCCAAGTTCCATCCCCCATACCAAAAATACCACAAAGACAAACAAAGAAAAAGAATTAACAGGGAGGTGAAAGGAAATAAGGGAAAGCAAAAAATATGAAAAAAGGAAAAAAATTGAAACAAAGTCTTTGTAAGTAGGGAAAGGTGAAGGGGTGAAGGGAGGGCAGGAGAATGGTGAAAAAATAAGAACCAAGGGCCCAGGATTTAGCTCAGTGGTTCCTCGGCCTGCCTCACAAGCTGAAGGTCCCAAGTTTGACACCCAGTACCAAAAGAAAGAACAAATACAAGTTCAAGATCATGGCTCCCTTTGAGTGTGGGGGAGTAAGGGAAACAAGATAAAGGATGTAGATAGAGGATTTCAACTGAATTGGTATGGTTTAATCTCACCACTCCCCGAGTGCTGGGATTACAGGCATGTACCACCATGCCTGGTGTTTTTTTTGTTTTTTGGGTTTTTTTTTTTTTGAGGCAAGATTTTATTATGTTTTTTAGGCTGGCCTTAATTTCATGATCCTTAGCGTACTGAGTGCTAGGATTACTTATGGGCATGCACCACTATTCCCAGGTCATATTATTTCTTAAGCTATTTATAATTTTCTTGTACATGATTTTAAATTTTATTTCAATGACATTGCAGTATACGTAATTCATTAATTTTTATTGCTAGGTGATATTCTGTTGTATGACTATACCACTACTTACTTGTTTGTTCTTCTATTTATAGATTTGTTTCTGGGGAATCTTTTAGGTACATTGTGGGGGTTTGTTTTGTTTTTGTGGAGTTTGTTTTTGTATTTGAGCCCAGAGCCTTTGCACTGAGCTGCATCTCTAGCTCTTTTTATATTTTTAGACAGGGTCTGGCTAAATTGCTGAGTTGCTCATGTTGGGTTCAAACTTGCAGTCTTTCTGCCTTATCCTCCCAAAGAACTGGGATTACAGATGTGCATCACCATGTTCAGCCCCCCCTCTTTTTTTTTTTTTGGTATCAAGGGATTGAACTCAGGACATTGCATTTGCAAGGCAGGCAGCAATACCACTGACCTAAGTCCCTGGCTCTAGCACATTTGGTTTTTAATAAGTATTTCTCATTATTGGTAAGATTGAACATTTTATTAGGGATTTTTGGTTATTTGTTCATCATATTTTCTTTTCCATAAATTGCCTATTCAAATCAGGTGTAATGACACATGCCTATAACACCAGCACCCTGGGAGGCTGAGGCAGAAGAATTGCAAGTTTGAGCCCAACCTGGACAATTTAATGATCTAGCAAGACCCTATCTAAAAATTAAAAAAAGGGCCCAGGGATTTAGCCTGCCTTGCAAGCGCAAGGTTCTGAGTTCCATTCCTGCTACAAAGAAAAAAAGAATGCTCAAAAATTAAAAGAAAGGGCTAGGGATGTAGCTCAGTATGAGGGCCCTGGGTTCAATATCCAGTACCTCAAAATAGATAGCCTTTTCAAGTGTTTAGTCCATTTCAGAAAAAAATTGGCCTGACTATCTCTTTGAAACTTTTTTAGATTTAAAAAACAATAAACTGAACTATCCCCAGTACTACAAATAAATAAATAAATAAATAAATAAACTGAACTGGGCCGGGGATTTAGCTCAGTGGTTCGGTGGCCTGCCTTGCAAGCACAAGGCCCCGAGTTCAATCCCCGGTACCAAAAACAAAACAAAACAAAACAAAAAAAACGGCTACTGAGGCACAGTTTTATGTTTCATCAGTTTTAAAAGGACAGTTCAGTGACTTTTTTTTTTTTAGTAAACTTACAGATTTGTGAAACCATTACCACATTTCTTCATCCCCAAAAAGCCTCTTGTGCCATTTACACTTGTTCCCTGTTTCTACTCCTAGCTTCATGCAAACATTGATCTGTTCTCTGCCTCTGTGGATTTGCCTTTTTGTGGATACTTCATATCGTGGAATCATGCGATATGTGTTCGTGCCTGACTTTTGTCACTTAACATAATGTTTTTGAGGTTCTTCTGAGTTGTTGGATTATCAGTATTTTGTTCCTTCTAATGGCTAGATAATATTCTGTTGCATAAATATACCACCTTTTATTTATTCATTCATTAGTTGATGGATAATTAGATATAGAGTAATTCTGTAACAATTTTATTGAAATATAGTTCACATACTATATAATTCACCCACTTAAAGAGAACAAATCAATGGCTTTTTTCTATTTGTAGGTTTGTAAGGTCATCATCATAATCTATATTAGAAAATTTCATTACCCAAAAAGAAACTCCCTGTACTACATAGCTG